TAAATTTTTCCAAAAAAAAAAAAAAAATAGTGAACAACAAACACTATGCACTACCCTAAACCATGTGGCTATAGGTTAGTTATTAATCTACCAAATGCAAGCATGCATGAGGCCCTCGAAGTCCAACTAAGTTCAACCCAATATCGTAATCATAGTTTAGTTGTGACTTGTGACTTCGTGACTTTGTGACTTTGTGAGATCCACTTCCACTGAAGCAGAAGTGGGGTCTAGCCCAGGTACTCTCATTTTGCAGGTTCCGCTGGCGCCAAATGGCCCAATGCCCATGGTAAGTCGAAAGTCCAACTTAAGATTTAAAGATTTAAGCTCCTTTACTTCAAAAAGTTGTCAATTTAAGCCCTTAAAGTACATTTTAAATAAAAATTTAAGAATGAAAATACACAAGCTTAGGCAGTAATATGTGATTCCTCAGGGCGAGGCAATGGGATAGGTTTGATGAGCAATGATAATATGCGATGCCTCATTACATCATCTTGAGAGCTATGGCCATCTCTATGTTTGTACATAAATTGAGCCATTCTTGAAAGGTTTATTGCAGCTTCAATCAAAATTTGAGGGAGAAGAGAGGGCTCAAATTCATCTTTGTTCGTCTTCTTCCATGTTTTTTCAATCAAATCTTGTATGTATTCATGAGCATTTTCTTCTAGAACTCCAGTTTCATGCATATAACATTGAATGGATTTTGGAACATCACCTCTTTTCATTTCATCCTAAAAAAATAAGGATTGTAAGTCATGCAAAAACAACTCAAATCAAGAAGCAAAATGAGACAAAGGGTAAATACTGGTGATGTTCCCAAATTGTTTGCAAGCCTCAATACCATTGATGAACAACGGATTATACTGGGCAATTCTTCCTCTAAATATTGTAAGACCTCAATTGTTATGTGATTTGAAGAAAGAATATAAGCATGTAACAATACTAAAGGTGCTGATACTGAAACAACTGCATTATCAATGTACTCTTGCAAAGATGGTGTGTATCCTTGGTGGTATCATTTTGCCTCTATCAAGTAAGTTTTACATAACTCCAGCCACTAGGAGAAATTAAGATTGAAAGAATTAGTTAGAGTAAACAAACACAAAGTCATTCAAGTCAAGAATTAAGTAACGATACCGCTTTCTTTGAGTAAGGAAGGTTGTTTATTCCTTGTTCCTAAAAAATGTCCGAGGCAATTTGGTTCATGGAGTTGTGCACGGCAAAAAAGCATAACTTCATATAGTCTGGGAGTTGCTCTGTTGCATTGATATCCCATCTGAAATCCGATAGAACAATTGAAGCATGAAAGAAATTATTAAGTTCAAATGAAAGTGATTGCTAAGCACAAACCTTTCAATGGCACCAGTAAAAAGTTCAAGTTCATCCAAGGTTCCATATACATCATAAACATCATCTATTGTTGTTACTAGTGCATTGACTTGTGCGGCCATTCTTCTAAAATATCCATACTGAGGTTTGAACAATACTTCAATAGTCCATAAGAAATTCTCCATCAATCTGTCCCTGATGAACCCCAAATTTTGTCTAAGACTTGTTCTCTTCCACCACCTAATTTGTGCAAAGAAAAATTACATTTCACATCATGAAATCCTTTTTTTTTTTTTTCTAAAGGTTTAATTAGTATTTGTTAAGGTAATTAAAGTTATTGAACTTCTTACATTGAGGCATGTTTTAGATCTTCTTGGTACATCGCTTGCACCATGTTGAAATCCAGCTTGGCAAGATCAAGCAAGAGGGGATTCATATCTGGACTTCGTTCATAAACCTCAATGAACCATCTTGCTTCCATCCTTGGCATTCTCCAACGGAGTGGAAACTCCAGGGCATGCTCCACTAGTGTTGAAAGGTAGGGATTTTTGCTTTCGTTTAGCTTAACATATTCACAAAGATAATTTCTCGCGAAAGTTCTAGCAGCATCCAGTGTACTTTCACCTTCCAATGAAAGGAATGAAGCTTCATACAAATATAGCATTCCTTTGCAATCCATGTTGAGACAAGCCTTGAAGTTTCCACTCTCATTTAAGAAACTTTTGAATATCTCTGCAAAGAAATACAAGATTTGAGTAGTTTTCCATCAATTAGCCGTTTGATAAATTTACAACATAAGCAAATTTGAGATTGATTTCCTTGAGGTACTTTGTATCCATGTTGCCTTAAAATTCTAAATTCTAAATTCTAGCGCAGCCACATATAAACTCTCTCTTTCAAAGCCATAATAATAACCCTGATTATTTGTGTATACTTTCTGCAAAATTCTGTTGATTTCATTCTCAAAATGGTAAGATAATCCAAGCCTTTGCAACGTATCAATGAGCTTGAGTTGTTGCGAAGGAACCTTGTCCATCTCCTTTTCTTCTAGCACCACTATAACATCTTCCTTCAACTTGTATGCGCCTTCTAAATGATTCTTCCTGCTTAATTAATTATATATTTAATGTTTTGTTAAAAAAGAACATTAATTAAGCAAAAATATATAATAAGTAAGAATAACTGTATACATTACCACGTAATCAACTTTCAGAGACTGAATGTATTCAAAGCTCCAGATAGGAGGCTTGTAATCTGCAGATCTCCTCATAGTGAGCTCATTTGACAATTTCAGGGCAGTTACTCGACTAGGAGCGTAGTGTTTGGTACATGATGGAGGAAATGGAAGTCTACTCGAAATAGCTGCAACAGGGACAGAAGCTGGCAGGGGAAGAGCCATGGAGGTAAAAGGACTCATTTTCATTAGGTATACATTGATGCGGCAGATCTGCGTGTACTTATAGAAATTGAATCGAGTTGTTGTTTTCAACGTCGGTGGCCCACATCTTATTCTAATCAAACCTCTTGTAGAAATTTTAGCACGTTCCATTTCCCTATTGGCTTCCGCGTTCAATTACACATCATTATACCACCAAGCCAAAATAATCCTTCGTCGTTACTTCGTACCAAACTAA